TTTGATGCTAATTTTAGAGCAATTTTCTAGAATAAAACTGGCATTTTGATCTTCAAAAAACCTGAAAACGCTTTAGACATTAAAAGACTGGATTAGAAGCTATCAAAACTTTGCATTTGCGATTTTGAACCCCTTTTAGCCTAAAAAATGACCTGAAAAAGCTAGCATTCACTCGAAATGTTCCGCTCGATCTGGCAGGGCACGCTGCAGGGCCGCCGCCGTCTATACCAGGGTTCGTTTGGGAGCAGAAGTGCTGGGATTTTAATTGTAAAACTAACATAATTAATTAACTAACCAGGGTTGAAAAGCCGCTTCGCGACTTTTCAACCCCGGCCTTTCCTTGTCCCATGCTACTCTTTGCTGTGCATAATTTTCCTAAATTCAGATGATAAAAAATGAAAAACTGTCCCGTTTGCCCCTTTATATAAGCGACCCCCGCTTCCGGTCTATGCTAATTACTTCTTAACAAAGAGAGTTTCACAAAAACTTAAATTTAATATCGAAAATGGGTGATTTTAAAAAAATCCGATATGTGTGCAGTCATCGCAAGACCGTTACGCACCTAATGACATATCGAACACACCCGTAACTTCTTCCCCTATAGAGATACTACTGGAACAACGCAACGGAAGTGGATGCAAAGTGGCACACACACATACACTATTTTTTTATATATAGTAGGATGATATCTTTGGTTTCATTTTAGGTTTTGTAAGTAACTTTTGTCTTTTCTGCGGCTTGAGCTTATGCAAAATGTGTCAATCCTCTTCTTCTACCCTTGCCTCAACTGGCTTTATTTTTCTCATCCACGGAGCGTTTTTTATTCGTAAAGGTTGTTGAACAACTCAGGCTCGCGCTGTACAGATATTTGCGGTTTTTGCAACGTTTGAAGGTTGTGGTGGGTCAAAGACTGCGATTGGTCAAATTGTCATGAAATTCACGGCTTCCTAAGCCCTTTAACCCTGTTTTTCCGCTTTCCTAAACAATCTCTGCTAGATTGCCTTGGTCAAAACAATGTAAAAAACATGTCAAGTTAGCAAAAATTGCCGATGGGCAGCCATAGTCTCGTTTTCCGGTTCCCTCGAGCCCCGTATCTTCCCCAACGTTCTCTGCTAGCCTGCCTGCCTTACTCCAAAATCAGCCATTCGACTCTCTATTTACCTCGGGATTCATTTCCCACTTCCCGATCCCTTTAGTATCATCTTGCGGCCAGTTTTTTTTGTGTTTGCTCGTCCTCTGAACCTCTCACCCCTCCCTGCCAGATCGATTCTCGGCTTTGCACCGGAAATTGAAAATTCCATAGCTTTTCCCATATATCCGATTGCATTGAAAATCCAATGAACGACCAGGCATATATATTTTTCGCATCAAAACGGTTGATTCACGGCCGAACCGGGCTAGACAATAAAAAAATGTAGCGCGCGCCAGAATCCATTAGCTGGACGGGCGAGAGTGACAGAACGTTCAGCTGGAAAACCACGTTATTTCAACGCGTAAGCGATTGTTATAGTGTTTTTTTTTGCAGTTTTTAATGATGCTATAATCTAAAACGGTAGTTTGATAAGGTTCTGGAACAGCTATAAATCGCTCGCCCGGACCTAATCTTCAACTGGTACTGTTCTATTTCGCGTGGGGGAAAACTGAGCGGGGGGAATTTTCTTCTTTTTGTTATAACTCTTTTATATAATGCTATTTTGAATTGTAATTAAAATTCTTAATATACTTTTTGACGCTCTATCGAATGGCACTAAAAAATTTTTGAAAGTTGTCGAAAATGTCGAAAACTAGCTTTCGACTCCACGATCTCATGTGGAAACACCGAATAAACCTTGTTTTTGCTATAACTATTTCATAAAACAATATTTGTAGATGAAATTAAAACTCTTAGTATATTTTTTGATGCTCTATCGAATGACGGATTCAAAATATCGAAAAACGGGCGAAAATGCCGAAAACTAACATTTCGGCACCAGTTTCAATAGTTTTTTTTTGGTTTTTGCTATAACCTTTTTATATTACAATATTTTTAGCTAAAACAAAAACTCTTAGTATATTTTTTGATGCTCTATCGAATGGCGTTGCAAAAATCCCGAGAAAATAGCGAAAAGATAGAAGTTTTGGCGAAGCATATTTCCCCCCGCACAGTTTTCCCTCCCGCGAAATAGAACAGAACCGTAACTTTTGTCTTTTCTGCGGCTTGCTTATGCAAAATGTGTCAATCCTCTTCTTCTACCTTTGCCTCAACTGGCTTTATTTTTCTAATTCACGCAGCGTTTCTTATTCGTAAAGGTTGTTGAATAATTCAGGCTCGCGCTGTACAGAGTTTGCGGTTTTTGCAACGTTTGAAAGTTGTGGTGGCTCAAAGACCCCTGCTAGCTTGCCGGCTCCACAAAATCGGCTTGCGATTGGCCAAATTTTCATGAAATTCACGGCTTCCCAAGCCCTTTAAGCCCTGTTTTTCCGGTTTCCTAAACAATCTCTGCTAGATTGACTTGGTCAAAACAATGTAAAAAACATGTCAAGTAAGCAAAAATTGCCGACGTGCGGCCGTAGTCTCGGTTTCCGGTTCCTTCGAGCCCCGTATCTTCCTCAACGTTCTCTGCTAGCCTACCCTTACTCAATAATCAGCCAATTAACCCTCTATTTGCCTAGGTCTCGATTTCTCACTTCCCAATCCCTTTAGTATCTCTGCCGCCAGTTTTTTTTGTGTTTGCTCGTCCTCTGAACCTCTCACTCCCCCCTGCCAGATCAATTCTCGACTTTTGCCCCGGAAATTGAAAATTCCATAGCTTTTCCCATATATCCGATTCCATTGAAAATCCAATAAACGACCAGGCATATATATTTTTTCGCATCAAAACGGTTGATTCACGGCCGAACCGGGCTAGACAATAAAAAAATGTAGCGCGCGCCAGAATCCATTAGCTGGACGGGCGAGAGTGGCAGAACGTTCAGCTGGAAAACCACGTTATTTCAACGCGTAAGCGATTGTTATAGTGTTTTTTTGCAGTTTTTAATGATGCTATAATCTAAAACGGTAGTTTGATAAGGCTCTGGAACTGCTATAAATCGCTCGCCCGACCCTAATCTTCAACTTTTTGGGTGGATATGGTAGTCTTTTGCTCGGTTTTATTTATTTTTCTAGATTTTTCTATTTTTATCCGCTTGAGCAAATTGAGAGCTACATTTTCGTATACGGTAAGGTACTGTAGCGGTAGGGATGGCAAAGTTGCGGCAGTTTTATTGTTCACAAATGGCGTAAGAGTCGATTTTTTTACATTTTAATGCGCTCTTAAATATTTATAAACAGATTTTGTGCAAATCTAATGCATTACTTATGTTTTCCACATAGAGCTTAATGTTTTGCGGTACTTGGAGCGCTAATAGACAGATAACTGTTTCCTAAATGTTCTCTGCTAGCCGGCCTCTGTTTTGCCCTCCTTGGGCTCCGGGAGCGCACTAGCTTTTTGCGCAATTTTTCGAATCGCGCAGTTTTGGTGTTTCGAAAATCGTCTTGTAGGCTTTGTAGGTTTTCGCTGATTTTTCGGTGTTCTCTGCTAGCCTGCTCTCCTTAAATTTTGACTGGTCTCCGAGATTCCTCAATAATCACTGCAAGCCTGCCCCTCCATGCACTCTAATTCCTCAAAGAATCTTTGCTAGCATGCCCCTCCATCCACTCTAATTCCTCAAAGACGCTCTGCTAGCCTGCCTTGACCCTGAACCGGGCCAGACTCTTGATTTCCCCAAATGATCTCTGCCAGATCGCCCCACCCGTGTCGAAAGTGCGGTAGTGGTGTTGTTCTTCTCCTCCCCCTTCCTCCCTCTCGTGCTCCATTCTCGCCTCGCGTTCCATTCAGAAGATAACCATCTTCTCTAAACTTTCACGCCCTCCCGACCCGAAAGGCTAGAGAATGAGAGAGAGAGAGAGAGCGAGAGGAGAGAGAGAGAGAGAGAGGGAGGGAGAGAGAGCAAGTGGCAGCCGCCACACTCGTCCGGTTTTTCCACCATTTTCCCGGGTGTCTTTTCAGGGGTCATCGGGTGACTTTTGCACACCTCGTCTTCCACCTCTCATTTAACCTGTCCAAGTTCGGCCAAGTCATTTCAGGTTCCGGTGAGCGGGACCTGGAATTTGGGCCTTTTAAAGGGGCAAGCGAGGCAGTATTTTGGCTCAGTTTGGGTTTGGCAAGACATCACAGCAGTTTCCTTTGTCTCTAGAATACGGAGACGCTATCAGATGTTTCTAGAATTGAGTTTTACCTTGAGCTTTCAGACCTGGCTTGCTTTTTAAAAAATCGGGACTTATCTGTCTCAACTTTCTGCCCTCTTCGTTCCGGTAAAATCGACTGCACTTGACCGATCCACTCCCAATTACATGGCGTAACCTTTTGCTGGCGTAAACAGTTTGCCCCCATCTTGAAGTCGGATAGAAACATTTTTTGGAAACTGGTCATACATTTTTTAGGTTTTGTCCCTTTTAGTGGCTTTTCATGCATGCAGATAGTTTTTGCTACCCGCGAATTCCACTTGATAAACTGGTTTTTTTTTTGGTTTTTGTTCGTACCTAAACAATCCCGGGGCGTCCGGAAAGCCCGGAACCCTTCTTCGGCTTGCCAGAAAGCTTATTATGCTCGTCGGTTTCCGGAAAAAAGATTAACCCCTTCAGCCTCTTTTTTTCCCGGTCCGGATGCCCTAACTCGCTGATAAGTTGCCGGAAACTTGGAACGCCTAGAACGTGATTAAACAACCAGCAAAAATGACAGCTATTTTCGGCACTCCTTAAAAAATTTCCGCATTTATCGCACTTTCAATTTTTCACAGCGTTCCTCGCGCTAAACTACAATTTGCTCAAGAAAAGTTATATTTGAAAAATTTTAGCTTTGTAAAGAAGTGCGTCCTTTTTTGTTTTTTCTTTGATTTCCACTAACCAATTCGTTTTTCCTTATTTTGGTTCTAATTTGGTAAAAAAATCATTTAGGCTACATTTTCCAGGCCCAATTGCGATGCCGGAGAGCGGTTCCCTCAGCCAGAACGGCGTATCCATTTGGCCGTTGCCCGATGTCGAGAAGCCGGTGAGATAGATCCCTATCCACAAAAATTTTTTGCCTTTCCATTTTTGCCATTTTTGCCTTCTATGGTCTTTTAAAGCACGCTATTATTCTTTTTTTAGGCCCGCTGGATCTCGTGCTTCGTGCACGATCACATTCCGCTGTACTACCCGCTCGAGACGCTCGTCGACAGCCCCGAATTTCAGAGGTTGAGGCGGTTGAAGCAGGTGAGGGCAAGCTGGCAGGGATTCTTTGAGGAATTGGAGGGGATGGAGGGGGCAGGCTAGCAGAGATTCTTTGAGGACACTAAAATTACTCCATTTCCAGGTCGGCCTCGGCAACTACGTCTTCCCCTCCGCCGAGCATTCCCGATTCACGCACAGTCTTGGGTGAGTTCAGAGGCGAGAGAGAGGGAGCGAGAGAGTGAAAAAGAGAGAGAGCGCAAGACACACCTTGTTTTTCAGCGTCTACCACCTCGCCCACCAGTTCGCGACGTCGTTGCGCGACTCGGACCCGAGCCTCCAGATCTCCTCAGAAGACGTCCTCTGCCTGTCTATCGCCGGGTTGTGCCATGATATCGGTGAGAGAGAGAGAGAGAGAGAGAGAGAGAGAGAGAGAGAGAGAGAGAGAGAGAGAGAGAAATTAAAAAGCTATGAATTCCTGTCAGGCCACGGTCCCTTCTCGCACATGTTCGACAACGAGCTGCTGAAGGAGCGAAACCCGGACTCGACCTGGAATGTAGACCGAAGTTTTTAATGGCCTAACTAGTTTTTTAGCACGAGCACGGCTCCATCCAGCTGATCGATCGGCTGTTCGGGCGCAAGGAAGTCAGGGTAGGATTTTGGAGCCCTTCTAGCGTTAATGAGAGGCTACAACCCCTCCAATTCCTCAGGGAATCTCTGCTAGCCTGCCCCCGTCCATCCCCTCAAATTCCTCAAAGAATCTCTGCTAGCCTGTCCCCTCCATCCCCTCAAATTCCTCAAAGAATCCCTGCTGACGTGCCCCCTTTTCAGGAGCACTTCACCCCGTACCTCGGCCACGGCGACCGCTTCGACCGCAACCTCACCTTCATCAAAGAGCTCATCCATCCCGGCGAGAAGTTGGATGCCGAGGGGAAATGGAGGCTGCAGGGCCGCGACCTGGAGAAGAGCTACCTCTACGACATCAGTACGTTTCCTTCGTTGTTTAGGACTAGTTATCAGGGATTTTGCCGAAATTTAAATTTTTTTTGCAGTCTCCAATGAGGAGGACGGCCACGACGTCGACAAGTACGACTACTTGATGCGTGACGCCCTCCACTGCCGAGTTGATATTACCTTTGGAATGGTAAGTTTTCTCTCGTCCTCTCTCGCTCTCTCTCGCCTGGCTATCTCGCTCTCTCTCGCCTCGCTATCTCGCTCTCTCTCGCTACCTAATTCTCGTTTTTCCAGTCGAGCCTGATCCGGATCCGGAACAACATGCGCGTGTTCCTCGACGAGCAGAAGGGCTACAAGCGGATCGCGTTTGCCAAGAAGGTATGGGCAGGCTAGCAGAGATTCTTTGAGGAATTGGAGGGGGTGGGCTAGCAGAGATCATTTGCTGAATTTCCAGATCCTGAGCAACCTGCAGTCGGTGGGTGACTCTCGTCAGCACATGCACCGCGTCGTCTACCAGCACTACACCTGCCGCGCCATCGAGAGGATGTTGGTTGAGGGTTTGAGGGGTTGAATAGGGTTGAAGTCAGAAATTGATCAGTTTCTCAATTCCCCAAATTTCTCTGCTCGATTGTCCGTTTTTTGCATCTAGCGCTCATTTTTCGTGACGTTTTGGGAGAATTTGTTGCGTTTTAAAGGACTAGTGAAGTGAGATTTTGTCATTTTTCGTGAGATTTCAAGTTTTTTTGAGCCAAACGATTTCCGCAATGTTCTCTGCTCGCTTGCCCATTTTTAACATCTAAAACACACTTTTCCAAATTTTTTTTGGGGGGTTCTGGTCTGTTTCAAGGGCCAGGGAGTTGACATTCAGGATTTGTGAGGTTTCTCGGATTTTTAGCGCGCCTGCCTCCTGGAGGCGGCAAAACAAATTCCCCAAATTCTCTCTGCTCGTTTGCCTAACCTATTTTTTGCCAAAAGTAATTTTCGGTAGCAGCTTTAAAATAATTTTTTCCGGATCTTGCGAAGTTTTGAGCGCTTTTTTGCTGTTTTTTTGCAATTTCATTTTTGTGTGCACGACACCATAATAGCAAAAGATTTTTATTGCACCGTAATTGGTTGTTTTTTTGCAATTTCTTATATCCATTATATTATGCATTTTGTGGCAAGCATCTGCGGGTGGCTGTACATGTAGAGGGTGGCGTTGTGGAATTATTGAGCAGGCGTTGAAGGCGATGCGATTAGTCCTGGATCTTCTTACCCGCTTCCTCGACCTTCTCTCCTGCAAAATAGACGTTTATTACGGCGTTTTAGTGGTTTAAAGGGGCGTGCAACATTCCAACGTTGTTCATGCAGGCTAAGCACTTTACAGGGGGGTCGAAGTCAATGAAGCGGATTAGTTTTTTTGCATTTTCAAGGATTTCTGAAGCTTGGTGGGGCCGAGAAACCGGCAGAAACGCTTTTTTCAGGTGCTTTACCGGATTTTAATCGTCTAAAGGTGGCTCAAAACGTTCAAATGTCTGCTTGACAGCTTGGGCATGCATTTTGTTTAACTTAGCTCGGGGGCTGGGTTAAAAATCGGCTTAAGTTTGTTTTAGGTCGGAGGGGATTAGGGTTAAAAGCGGCTTTCCACACATTGCCTCTGCCAGCATGCCCTCTGTCATGCCTCTCACTCTGACTGACCAATCTTATCCTTGGCTCCGCTGGCGGCGGCCTTTCCCTCCTCGTAGCCCTTGCTTATCCTCTCGCCTAGAGAAATAGACAATTTTTAGGGAATTTTTAGTGAAATTCAGTATTTGGAAATTTGGTTTTAATTTTTTTTTGATTTAAAAGACTAGTTTTTCATATTCGCAATTTGTTATCCTGAAAAAATAATTTTCAGCGGTCCAAATTTGCTTAGATAGCGTAATTATGGGTTTGAAACTTTTACGAAAAATACGGAGGATGAAACCGTTTTTTGATTTTCTGACGATTTTTCGAGATTGTGCAATAGTGATAACTGAATTTGTGCTGTTCTAGACTAATCTCTCTATACTTCCAGCTATTTTTAAACAATTTTTGTATGTAAAAAACTACTCACCAAGAGTGTCCTTGGCATCAGCGGCGGCCTGCTTGCCCTCGTTGAATTTCCCCTCGGCCGTCTCGGCGGCGTCCTTGACCCCTTGATCTCCGACCTCCGGTGGCTTGCTAAAAAAATGGCTTGCTTAAACTATGGGAAATTTAGTTTAGCTCTCAACCCGTTAAAATAACCTAATTCGAATTGGGAAAGGCATAAAAAAACTCTTTTTAAATTCGAAAAATCGAAATTTTCAAAATTTTTCGATACTCAATTTTAAAACTTTGAATTTGCTTTTTTGAAATTTTAGAATGAAGTTGATTAGAATTAATGTCAAATTGAATTTGTAATGGCTTTTCTCTTATATATGGTGGGCAAATTTTAGAGTTTCAGAAAAAATTCTAAAATCCTGAAAACGCTGGAAAAATCCATTTTTTTACTTTTTGAGTTTTCAAAATATTTCTAGGGTTTAGAAATGCTATCTTTGCATAAAATTTAATCCAAAATTTTCGCTATTTTAGTTGCAAATTAACTATAAAGCTTCTAAAAACTGACCGCCACATATTGGACGGAGATGAGGGCGACGAGGAAGAGGGCGATGAGAACTCGGTTCATGGCTGTAGTTTAGTTGTGTAGTCGACTTGAAAAGTTGGCTTGAGGCTTTGGAGATGGGATGGCTTATATACCGTATGGGCGCCCGGACACGCCCCCCCCCATGGTTTTTGAGGCAAAAACGAGGGCTAGGGGCCGCCGGGGTAAACAACAAGAATAATTGGTGCTTGCACTTTTGGGGGGAGGGCCCGCCTCTCTCTCTCTCTCTCTCTCTCTCTCAATCGCTCTCACTCGTTCTGGCTCATGCTCTTGCTCGTTCTCTCTCGGTCTGTCTCTCTTTTATTCTGTCTGTCTATGTGTCTCTCTATTTCTCTCTCTCGCTCTCCAGCTCTAGCTTCGACTACGAAAAACACCGATAAACAACACCTCGCTCTCCCGCTCTTTTTCTCTTGCTCGCTCTTTCTCTCTCTCACTCTCTCTCTCTCTCGCAGAGGTGTTGATTTCCCTCCGCCATACCCAATTGCCCCCGATTACGGTATCCGGCCCCAAATTGGGCCGTAATAAGCCGGGTGTTCCAAGTACAAAAACCCCGACTGAGGGATTGTTTTTCGGTGTGTATCCGTCTAGACTACGTGTGGATACTCTTAACGGTGTGCTCGCACGGAATTTTGGTTAGCCGGGTTTTCGGGAAGCTTTTAAAGGGACGTACCAGTCAGAATTATCTGAAAGCGCAGCGCCTGCGCCGCTTGCTCCAGAGAAATGAAGTGAACCCGCTGAGGAAACAACGTGTCACGCATGCGACCGTAACGCCTACACTAGGCCGGCTAATTGTAACTCAGCTCCTATTGCTATTCGAATTCACAATGTTTCGGCATCCAAACCCGTAGACTTTGACGCGGATGTTTTCCAGTCCATCCCTCACCCCTAGGTCGTGGCTAGTTGTTGTTTTCGTCGACCCGGAAAACGCAGATCCTAATCTAGCCGCCCAAAAATGCACCTTCTCGGGCCGCATAAAAAGTTGAATCTGGATTTTGGTTGCTATTTAACCGGCAGAAACTCGCGGCTAAAGGTTTCTGGCATGGAAATCAAGCGGCATGCAATCCAATGATGCATTTAAAATGCCAAAAATTTTTTTTAGATTATAACGGTTTTTAAATGACCTCTGCCTTCGACGAAAAACTGAAAAAAAAGACGACGAAACCGCTGAAGGAATTTCCAGTTATTTCATGACCCCTGTTTTCCCGCCAAGCCAAACCAAAAAAAATCTCATTAGCATGTCTTTCAAAAGTCCGTCCTCACCCCCGCTGCTCCCAGGGCCTCTGGAAATTTGTTTACGCCCTCCCCGCCTCACCCGGGTCGGCTTTTCCCAACCCAATGGCCATGCCTTTTTTGGGTGCCGCCAAAATAGAGGGTGGCTGGAAAAAAGTTATTCATATAATGGCTATCGAAATAGGGCATGCTGAGGGCAGGGGATTTTCTCTAAATATATACAGCGGAGGGACGACAACAAGGCGTGGGTCAGACACGGGTCCCACGCTCTGGGAATTTGCGAAATTTTGCATAAAAATTCAAAAAAGGTTCAAAATAGATGGTAAAAGAGAGAGAGAGAGAGAGGAGAGAGAGAGAGAGAGAAAGAGAGAGAAAGAAATACCAAAGAGCTAAATCCGAATTTTCAGGCTAATCCGCGCCCTGCTGCTCGCCGACGAGCACCTGATGTTCACCGGCACCAACGGCAAGCGCTACCCCCTCAGCTCGACCATTGAGGATATGGAAAGGTACTTGAAGACCGACGACTCCATCCTCTCCATGGTAGGGCGAACGCGGATTGCCAGTGTCATTTGGAGTGCTGCGTAGCTGTCGATCCCTAGTAGAAAAAAGAGCTCAATTATTTCTCACTTCCCGGCCCCTTTAAAACGCGACGCTCGATTTTTTTCCAGATCGAAAACGACTCGTCCCGCTGCCCGCAAATGGAGCACGCGCGCGACATCCTGGCCGACATTGCCTGCCGGCGAATCCCGAAAATTATCGAAAGCGAGGATTTCAGCCCGCGGCGAACGCCATATGTACGTTTTTTTAGGCGGAGCGTTGCGTAGTATTGAAAAAGTTTTCTAAATTTTCTAAAAAAAAAACTAAAAGAATGCTTACAAACTTAACTTTACGATGTTTAACCCATTTTCTCGCCTTTTAGGCCGACAAAGCAGCCGGGGTACGGTAGATTTTGCGCATGCGAATTGAGTTGCCGTTTGATTTCTTGTAGTTTGTAGCGTATGTTTGATTTGTAGTGTGTAGTTTGTGGCCGGCGGTCTGTCGCTCGCCATTTATTTCTCGATTTCACAATTTTTTACGAAATTTGCATGATTTTTCAGAGTTCAAGAAACGGAAAAGTTTTCTTATAATCATCCCCCAAATTTAATTTAATTTATCCCGGTTAAAAATCAGCGATTTAGATCTGGGCCAACAGGGAGCACATCCCGATGCTCGACGATAGATTTAGGGTTGGGAGCGCTGCAAAAAAACGCAGCACACAGCTTTCCCTGGCTTTTTCCCCTGGCTTCAAAAGCTTGGATCCTGCTTATATGGCTTCAAAAATTGCACGGAAATTGTTTTCGCAACCTTAAAAAAATCGGTGGCATGTCTTTTTCGCTTTAAGATTTTTTGGCCAGCTTGCAAAGCTTTAAAAAACATTTTCTGTCACCTTGTGCACGTTTAGTCGTACAAATCTGCTTCAAAAACTGCATCAAAATATGTTTTAAAGGGCTTCGAATGCTGTGAAGAACGCTCAAAGATGCTTAAGTCTAACTTTACCGACTTCAAAACGCGAAGAAAATCGATTAAATGTGCTTACAAAACCCCTGATTTGCTTGAAAAACTGTCCGCCCTGCTTCGCCCTGTTTCCTGCATCTGCTTGCCTGCCCTTTAAAAAATCATTCCTATAGAATTTCTTCGCTTTTTAGCGCGTGATCCGGAAGCAGCTGGAGGACGCGATGAAGGAGGAGCTGCCCGAGATGGAGATTGAGATTTTGGTGCGCAAATTGCTGGATTTTGAAGGGATTCGAGCGCTTCGAATTTCTACCTATTAATGCACCAATTTTGCAGCTGCGAAACCTGAACCGTGGCCTCGACGGGAAGCGCCATCCGGCCGGCGAGGTGCTCGTCTTCGACTCGAAAAATTCGCCAAGTGGCCAGCCCGTCGCCAAGAGGGTCGAGCAGCAGCAGGTGGGTACAAGATTCCTCAAAGAATCTCTGCTAGCCTGCCCCCTTCCATCGCCCTTCAATTCCTCAAAGGATCACTGCTAGCCTGCCCCTCCATCCCCTCCAATTCCTCAAAGATTCTCTGCTAGCCTGCCCCCTCCATCCCTCCACCTCAAAGAATCTCTGCTAGCCTGCCCCCTTCATCCCCTCCCCAATTCCTCAAAGAATCTCTGCTAGCCTGCCCCCTCCATCCCTCCACCTCAAAGAATCTCTGCTAGCCTGCCCCTTGCTTCGCCTCGAAATTCCACATATTTCCCCAATGATCTGTGCTAGCCTGCCTTTCTCTTATTAGCCCTCTTTGTTTCCCAAAATGCCCATCTTGTTGTTTACGCCTAAACACCTCCAAAATGCAAAACAACATCTCCCGCCGCCAGCAGGGCCAATTTCTTTCGCCGGCCCTTGGACTCCCAAATCGTCCTATTTTTCCCCGCAACGACGGCAGATGCTAAAGACCTTTCCGTGGCTTTTTCGGGGGCCCGGCTACGACGGATCCACACGCACACAAACAACTCATGGACAGACAGACCGACAAAGAAAAAGCTCCAAAACACCCCTAGGGGTTGTTTTCGCGGCGGGACCACCCGGGGGCTTTTGGGTCTCTCTCTCCCTCCCTCTTTCTCTCTATCTCCCTCTCTCGCTCGTTGCATCCATGGACCTCCATCGGCACAAACAAGCATAAACAAATCCTCCTCTCCGAAGGGCATGAAAGTTGAGCTGATGTCTGGTTGTTCCAAAATTGGGGGGCTCTAAAGGGACTGAGAAGCGTAAAAATCTATCATTTCAAAAGATTGGGTCTTGCCAACTACGTGACACTCCAAATAACACTGGTTTATATCCGCCAAAAAATTGCATTGCGTGGGAAGCTGGCAGAAATTCTTGGGGAACTGATGGGCTCCTTAATGGGATTTAAAGGGACTAGCAAGCGTAAAAATCGACCCTTTAAAATAGCTAAAGCTAATTTAGTAAAAATGATAATTTTATATTATTTTCCAGGTGATGATGTCTGCCCCAACTGACCCGACGATCATGTCCGTCGCCGTCTTTGCTCACCGCCACGCCACGTAAGCGGATTTTTCTGGATTTAAATTCCTTTAAAAGCCAAAAACATTACAAACGAGGCTCCTAGGAAATCACCGAAAGTCTGGAAAATGCAGCTGTTTTCGTGATATCAGTGGTAAGACAATCGGAATTTCCCAATTCCAGCTGCCCGGTCTTTTTCATAATTATTTTCCGCTAATGTTTATTACCACCGCCGCCGTCAGATTGCCTCAAAATATTTTTGCCGTTCTTTGAAATGGACAGGCCCAGAGGCAAAGTTCAGCTGCTTTCAATGCCCCGCTTTATGCCCTCGAGTATAGCCCGGGCACCACCAACAGACAACCAAGCGACGCTTACACCGTGAAACAGACCGACTGGGACGGAGCCCGACGGGGGGATAAACTATGTTGTTTTCGATTAGAACTGGCTGGGGCTCTCGGTTGGTTGATGGAGGGCTGCAAGTTCATAGGCGCAAAGGGCTACGTGACGATACGGTCTACCTGGGGGAGGAAAATAAAGAAAAAATCGAGAAATATGGCAACGGCAATACGAATTTAATTCATAAATTTAATACGGACAGAAAGCCAAATAAACGCTTCGTTGCTAGTGAAATGCACCCTAAAAATTTGCATGAATGTATTTTTTTAGTCCCGAAGAGCGCGAGACGATCCGTCGTGTCTTCGATCGGGTGTGCCGCGACAATGGGCTGCGCTCCCCGAATACGGTAAATTTCTCGAGTAGAGAGAGGGAGAGAGAGCGAGAGAGTAGACAGAAAGAGAGCAGGAGAGAGAGAGGGGAGCGAGAGAGAGATAGCGAGAGAGCGAGAGAGAGGGCGAGGGAGAGAGAGTGACAGAGAGAGAGAGAGAGCCTGAGAAAGAGGGGAGAGAGGGGGAGAGCGAGGGAGAGTGAGAATATATAACTTCGTTGCCTTTCCAGTCCCTTTAACATTCAATTCATCCAATTTTTCCAGTCCGGAAACGTCTCCCCCGAACGGCGAGCTGTCTTCCCCCGGCGAACCGTCCGCCCCGTCGCCCGTCCACTGGTAGCGCCGCGTACTACTCGGCCGTATCGATCGATTTTCTAATCATTTCTTGCCCCAATTATGTGATTCTTACAGTACTCGATTGTGCCCATTTTTTCGGCATTTTCACTCGATGCTAGCTCACAAATTCTGCCTTTAAAAATCCCTGTAAAACTTGGCTTTATCGCTGTTCGCGTAGTTTTTGATTAAGCATTTTTGGTCGCGATTTTCCCTAATAATCCCTGCCATGCCACCCCCGCCCCAAAAGCCATTGTGATCCGACACCACTGCTGCATTTTAGAGCCTTTTCTCGATATATCTATGCTTTCGTGTGCGTGTGATTTGTCTCTTTTTGTGCGAGGTGATTACGGTTTTATGAATAAATTTAATGGATTCTTACAAACTAAAGAGGGATACGGTAGAAAAAGCATGATTTAAAAAACACAGCCTTCCTGCTAAAAGCCTTTTCAAGCCAAAAAAAGAGCTAGGCTTTTGCTGGCAAGCTAGCAGAGAAAGGCAAATTGGTATCAGTCAGATGCAAAATTGCGAAAAAGGTGCCGGAAATTCATGTAATAGCGCTTGGAGAAAAAAGCGCGCATGGGAATGGATTTATTTAATTGATGAATTCTAAAGGAACCGGGAAGTGTCAGAATCGACCCCTTTGATCCACCTGGCCTCGTCAGCAGCTACGCGATGCGCCGAATGACGTGCATCAGCGCTATTATGCTGAACCTGGCGCCCTTAACCATCGCTAACAACGCAATGCTCCAAATGACGTTTGACGCTGTCAATTGGAGTATGGCGTTGTCGTGACTTCTGGCGCTTATAACTTCTTTAGAACCCGAATGCGGCGCCGAGCCTTCTTGAGAGAAACAAATTTATGTAAAGTTTACACTTGGAATTTGGACGCCGCCGTAGCTGACCAGACCTAGCAGCTAGAAAGGAGCAGAATGAAACTGTTGTTAATCGTCAAATTGAAGCGCTAGACAAATGTGTCAATAAATATTTGAGCGAAGAGATCGATTTTGGCGGTTCCAAGTCATTTTAAAGGGCCAGCGACAGCTGGAGTTGACGTTTGTGCAAGAGTTTTTAACGGTTTTAAACGTTTCTATAAGGGGTCGTAACAGCTGAGGACACAGGTTTACCAAATGACATAATTTAATTTCTAGGTTTTTAGGTTTAATGAAATTAGAAGTGATCTGTATCTGAATAGAATGAAATCTATTTCCTTTGTTTTCTAGCTCCTTCCAAATGTTGATAATGTCCATCAGTCGCCCTAATCTTTCTTACCTTTCCTCTTCCTATTCTTCTTTTTTCCACCCCCAAAAAAAGGCGATGGTTTGCCCCCATTTCGGGATGACCTTGTTCCCCGTTTTTCCTCGTTTCTATCCCCTTTACCTTCCCTTTTTCAGGCTCTCTTTACCATCACCCCCTGCAGGGGATTTTTGTCCGCGCCCAGGGCGCCTAGCAAAAGTTGACACCATTCCTATTTGCCCCCGCTGCGACCGGAACATCGACGATTTTCGGGATTCGATCCAAGGATTTTTGGACTTTTCAACCTTTTAGAGTTATTTTTCTAGACTAATTTTCGATTCTTCTAGCTTGCAGGTCCCTACCGTAACATTACCGTCAAGCTTCCCGCTTTTTGGTTCTGCATTTCCGCAAAGATCTCTGCTAGTTTACGTTCAAAGTTTTAATCTAACTAATTTTTTGTGGCTACCAAAAGTCATTGGGTTTTCTAAAAAAGGACTGTAATTTTTTAGTGTTGCCCAGCCAAATTTCCACAAGGCCTTTCGGTAGCCTGCCCTCGAAAAATTGCCCAAAGTTGGCTCGAAAAATTCTGAAATGATCAACGATAATCGCTGCTGCTACGTTTTTTCTAGCAATCTCTGCTCGCTTGCCCTAGTTTTAACGCCGCTTCAGGTTTCCGCTGGAAATCCGTTCTTATTTCTCAAACAAAACAATGTTAGTTTCCTGGTATCTTTGACACGCGTGAGATTTCGCATCCTAAATTGCCTGTGCTAGCCTGCCCGGCCATGCAGATTCCAGAATTTATCATTTCCCCAAGAGTCTCAGCTAGCATGCCCGGTTCTCCATAAAATTTAGGCTCGTTGTGATGTCCTAAATGGTCCCTGCTAGACTGCTGTCGCATGCAGTTCCCGGAATTTCAGGATTTCCCAAATTGTCTCTGCTAGGATGCCCGGTTGTACAAAAAGGTTGCGCTCGTTTCATTGTCCTAAATTACCTCTGCTAGCCAACCCACAACGCAGCTTCGAGAATATTCTCTGCTAGCCTGTTCTTCTATTTAAAAAATTCGGTCCCCTTAAGCGGCTACCACCCGGGCAATCACCCCTGAAATTGGCGCGTAGCAGCCGCCAGTACTCCGAGACAAAGGACTGTCTCTTTCTTTCCCTCCCGACTACGAACTTTTTACGCCCAAATCCGCCGGCAGTGGACGCTCCCGTGGAAAAAGCGGACAAGGGCGCGGAAAAAGTGCCGGCGAACGGATACGCGCCCTGCTTTTTCCACACGCATCCCTCCTTTTGGTTGATAAAAACTGGAGTGATCAGGGCGCTGATAGCCGCGCGCAAAAAGCGTTCGGACATTTGGAAAGGGAAATGAGGATTTTTGTTTTTGATAGTACTTGCGGAATGCAACGGAAAATTTGATAAAAAACAACCAAAAAAAAGTTACCTGGCCTTTTAAAGGGGCCAGGAAGTGTCAAAATCGACCCCTCCGATACACTAGGTCTCGACAACTTCTCGATAGTCCAACTTAAAGCTTAATTTTTATGGAATGATGCACCGGAGTAATATAACATTGCAAAAATATCTAAAAAGGGCCAAGAAAGCCATCTATGCTGTGTTTTGAACAGAAGTTGAAAGCCGAAAAATCTACCCTTCTTTCGCTTGGATCTAGACAGATACGCAACGCTCCAAGTTACACGTACGTATCGTATTTACATAGCCAATAAAAGGGTCATAAAAGGAATTCCGGCTTCAGGAAAAATCGGGTTACACTACGTACTTTACGTAGCTGTCGAGACCTAGTCGAAGGAAAGGGTTGACTTGTTCGATTTTATGGAAAACCTGGGATTTTTGGATAACTTTTTAGAATGGAAAGCAATACTTGAGTCTTTTGACCGCCCTGGGTTCGTCTCTCTAGGTCATATTGTGTCCATATGACAGGGTCAGCCTTTCCGGGGTTGACAGTTGACAGCTTTGAAGACCGTTTAACCTAATGCCCGGTTTCGGACCTGGATTAATCGTGAGAGTTCTTCAAGAAGTATTGTCAAAGAATTGAACCGCGCTTTAGTTAAAAAAATAGCACTTTGCCTTCAAGAAGCTTCTTCGACTTTTTCAGGCTTGAGAAACCATCCATTTTCCGATTTTCGCTATTTCTATTTCATTTTCAGCACGTTATGGTTGGTATGAATGAATTTCTGTGTTTTTGGTCTCAATCTGCACCATGTTGGTCTCGCTAAATTGCGCCCAAAAATGCGTAAAACCGGTGCAGCCCCGGGCGATATGAGCGGATTTAGAATTTGGGCGCGGGTGCAGGTGCACTTCCAAAACTCTCCAAAACGAAATTGCCATCAACTACGGTCTATGTTGCTGATTCCAAATGATCTCTGTTAGCTTGCCACTCCCTGGCCGTTTTTCCCCAGAAATCTCTGCTAGTTTGCTCAAGGATTCAGAATCCAGCTGAAGAAGGCTGTGAGTAGGCTTCCCAAAGGATCTCTGCTAGCTGGCCTTGCTATAGGATCGTAATTTTTTGTCTTGCCCTAATTTCCGCAACGATCGCTGCTTGCCTGCCTTCTCTAATTTCCTTAAAAAACTCTGCTAGCCTGCCTTCCTTAGCTTCCCAAATTTTTTCTGCTAGCTTTGTTTTCTAACTTTCCGCAATAAACCTTGCTAGCCTGCCACGATCGAATATCCTTGAGCTTGAGAGATTTACGAAAGAATTCCTCAAAGATCTCTGCTAGTTTCCGATTTTTCCTAAACCAAACATTGTGAATTCCCTAAAGAAAAGGATTCTCGAACCCTCTGAGATTTGTGCAACCCCCCACGCGAACCCTAGCTAAGCCTAAAATTAGCCCCCGAGGCATCTCGCTTTTCTCTGTCTGTCTGTCGATTTTCAAGGAGACAGAGAAACAACATCCTTCCCATACCGACCGTGACCTCTACCCGAACAATTCAAGCGACGATTCAACGATGCGCGTATTTATTCAAAACTGATGCTGATGTTTTTCTGTTAGTTTTTCTGAAATTGCAGCTTTCCGCAATGACCTCTGTTTGCCTGTCCTCGGCGTTTTATGAGTTTCGATTGTTTTAAAAATCCTGCGTTAAGAGGGCCACTGAAATATCAAAATCTGCTCAAAGATAAAATTCCAACTTTTTTGCAGCAACTTACCTGTGGCTTCGAAGCCATAACCCGATTTTTAAAGGACCCGTGAAGGCATAAATCCGTCCAGTCAGCCTAAAATCCTGAATTCTCAAATGATCTCCGCTAGCTTACCGTTCGCCTTTTTCAGTGTTGTAGTGAATCAGTCAAGTAAAACCTTGTAAAAGTTGAACTTTTCGCAATGCTCTTTGCTAACCTACCCTGCGCCTGCGCCGCCTAAGCCCGTTTAAGGACCAGTGGAGGCTCGGAGACGCCGAATTCATGTATCTTATCGTTACTTTTACCCTAGCGCGTCCTGAAATCCCCTCCATTGACCTCAGCCCTTCACCATCCGAGCCTAACCATCTTTAAAGGGCCAGTGAAGACACGTAACGCAACCCCCCACGATCCAATTTTTGGCGTCAATGATCTCTGCCAGCCTGCCCCCTCTAATGCACCCTCTGAAAACCGGTATAAAGGCAGTGTCAGAAATAATCGCCAAAACCATTTTATTCCATGTTTCCCAACGATACAAATGACCGTGTGCCAGCCGTGAGGGAGCCAGCCGGCAATTTCGAAAGGCAATAAAATCCTCCAGGTCCGTCCAGGTTTAACCGTCGTTTGGGGGTAAAACGGAATCTTCGAAAGTTCGGAGAAAGCGAGAGTGAGAAGAGAGAGAGAAAGCGGGAGAGAGACAGAGAGAGAGCGAAAGAGAAGAGAGAGAGAGAGAGAGAGAGAGAGAGAGAGCGAGAGAGAGAGGGAGAGAGAGCTATCAAAATCTCCACCCTCAATTCCTCCTCTCAAAAACAAAACTGTTAACACCCAGGCAAACAAGCAGAGTTTATTGCTTTTTCTTGGAGGCTTCTTCTTGAGGTCGGCTAGTCTATAAAAGGCGTCTCTCTACCGTATTCTCTGGGGGTTTTTCCAACTTTTCCAGCGTTCACAGCTACTTTATGAGGTGATAGTATCGCCCCGGACTGCGGTAAACTATGCGGGTTCCAAATTTCCATCCAATTCCTCAAGGAATCTCTGCTTGTCTGCCCCCCCCCATCCCCTCCAATTCCTCAAAGAATCTCTGCTTGTCTGCCCCCTCCATCCCCTCCAATTCCTCAAAGAATCTCTGCTAGCCTGCCCCCTCCATCCCCTCCAATTCCTCAAAGAATCTCTGCTAGCCTGCCCTCCGAGCGGTGACTCACAATGCCGATCGGTGGATAGTGCATGGGCGGAGTCTAAAGGGAGGCTCAGGCTGGTGGAATTCGGAGTTTTTGTCCCGAATCACCCGAGAAGAGGAGGTCTAGCCGAGACCCAAAAGCGATCAGCCAAGGGAATGTCGCTTTCGCCTCCTTTTCCTGATTCCTTTTCCTGATTTCCCCTTTTTGCCGGGTTGCCCCCTTTCACTAACACTAATTTCCGACACGCTCCAGTGTTGGACGGTTCGATATGTCCTGGGACTGCTAATTTATAGCAGCTTCCACATGTTTTTATCGTTAAAAACTGATGGATTTTGTCTTAATTACTCCTTTAAAATTGCCAGAACATTTCAGTTTTAAAGGAGCTAGAAAGGCGAAAGTTCCATTCCATTCTATGCAGATTACAGTATGCTTTTAAACTTTTTGTGAAGAGTCCTGAACCGTAACGTAAATTAGCGTTTTTGATCCGTTTTCTAACGCTAAAGAAACCCAAAAAATCGGATTCAAGTTTCTGGCAACGAGTCGATAGTTCGGAAAAGTTGTCGAAATCCAGAATCCGATGGCACACTTAAATGAGAATACTGTGATTTGGAACAACTGGTTTCAAAACTGGGAGATCAAGAGTTGGCGCTAGGAATGCGGTATGGGCGGTGTTTAGTTTTTTAGCCAACTAAATGACTAACGTTTTCGTGCTCCCTATGACTCAATGCTCATTCCTCTGGATTATCGTGACGTCGGATCGTGGAATTCGGCGAAATCTTCGAGACTCATTGCGGGCAGTTTTTTTAGTAATTTTTTGTCTCCCATGACTTTCGAACCTCTGTTAGTCTCACTTACAGTAGCTCACTGCATTTGCAGAATTATGTTGCTACGTTATCACCAAATAGCAACTGAACGGAATTCAGATACCAAAAAATCACTCAAATACTGTTCGGGCTTTTTCCGACTTTATCTTTCTATATCTCGCCCTTGCTACAGTAGCTCAACGCTCCTTCTACTCTTCTTTTTCTTGCTTGTTTTTGTAGTCTTTTTCGACGGACCTCGTCTTAGATCCCCCAGAAGATGCTAGCGCCGTGGTGGACGGCGCTGCTCATCGCCCTGCCCTCGCTGGCAGTGGCCGACTACTGTAGTAGCTATGCGGAATGTGTGGCAGTTTCCCGGTTAGAGGAACGATTATGTTTGGGAAACTCACAAAAAAGGTAAGACTTTTCATTTTTTTCACTTTATGTGGCGTTTTTAGACCATACTGGCTGCCCGAATCCACCGACCCCCATAATTGCCACGAGCAGCTGAAGGGAGATTATCAGAGGGTAGATTTTAAATTTTTTTTGAGACTGTTTCAAACCTATTTATATCGATAAAATATTGGTATTCCATAAGCCTTATATATGCGGATTTTTAAGCTAAAATATTAAAAAAAAAAACAATTTTACCATTTTTTAGCTTGAACGCCTCGAAATCGAGCTCGACACGGCCTTCGTCAACTGCATGGCCGGTCAGAATTCGACACAGGAATCGGTGGGTTTTTACGGAAATTCACGAAACCGTTTCAAAAAGCTGGTTAATGGCTATAGCGCTATATTTTCAATCGCAATAAGCAACCACAAGCAAAACTTTCGCTTAAATAGGCTTTTGTGTAAAATTCTATATTTCTAACGAAAATTCGAAGCTAGTTTGTGGTAAAAATTCGTTTGATGGAGTGCGGCTTCTACGTTCCTTTAAAATCGTAGATTTGCTATTTCATGGCTAATACGGTGCTATAAATACAACCCGAAGTATTTAGTACAAAGAACTACTATGTACACCTAGCTACTGTATACAATTTTTCGCTTTTTTTCTATCCCTCAAAGATCTTCGCGTTAAGATACGGTATCCGTGTTGCAAAATAGTGCTTCGGCCACGCACGAAACTTACTATGTACACCTCGCTACTGTATACAATTTTTCGTTTTTTCTATCCCCTCAAAGATCTTCGCGCTAAGATACGGTATCCGCGTTGCAAAAATGCCATTTTCTTTTCCTCATTTTCCATTTCAGGACACCCCAATTATCCCAGGCATCTCCGTTCGAGTTTCACTTTTCTTTTTCGCTTTTTTCTCCGTTTCACCCTGTTTTTCACTGGCCGTAATTTCTTCCGGTTTGACGAGCCGGCAACGGTTTTTCTGACGTTTTTCGGCGGCTTGTTTTTGCGTAGCGGAACGGAAATGATCGGGGGATATCCCTATCCGCGTTTAACTCGGAATTGAGTGGGTGCGGGGAATATTTGAGAAAAAGATGATGGACAGTTCTTGTTTTTTGATCCTTTTTGAAAATGATGGTACAAAAAGTCAATTGTAACTTTTATGTAATTCAGAAAATTCAGAATTCATTTGGGAATGTAAAGGAGCATGCAAGGCCGAAATTCGACCCCTGCCAGCAGCTAGGTCTAGACAGCTACCGATCTCAAAATACACAAAGGAACCAGCTTTTTCAAGATTTTAAAAGTTAAAGTAAGCTTGGAAATCGCCCCTTTTCACACTAGGTGTCGACAAAACAGCCAAAAATTAATACCGATCGTTCCCAGAATGACTGCCTAGAAATCAAAACCAGGCATGCTGCGAAAAGACAAAGAAAAGAAAAGAAAATTGCTTTTTTATTAGCTTTTGAAGGTACCAGAAAGCCAATCAATCAACCCATCCAATCGACTAGGCCTCGAGAACTACGCGGCACGCCAAATAACACGCAACAAAACGATTTAAAACATCAAAATCTCCTTTCGACGGGCTCCGGAACCCGAAAATTTTCAAATCCGGTTCGAATTCCGCTTTTTAGCCCTCCGAATGCCCACGCCACGAGCGTCAATCGCCAAAGTTTGCCGCCGGGCGTACGATCGACTACGTACCGACGTGGTGCTTCACCGGGGTGGACAGGAGAATCGCTCGACAGTGTGGACCGCTAAAGGGATGCTGCGAGGCTGTTAATGAGTACGTTTATCTACTAATTTACCGATCTTGTACATAGCTTTTTTCTAAAATTTTGCGGATTAGATACCAGTAGCTTCTGTAATTTGGTTTGCTTATAGTTTTAATAGCCTCCTGAAATGGTCTACATCATTCCCATCCGCTCTTATCAATCTTTCTCTCAATTTGCAACACGCTCTCCTCTGCCCACATGCCAAACCCGCGCGTATAGTTAATCAATCAGTGTTTCTCTCTCAAACCATGCCAATTGCTGACCCGAGAAACGCGAAAAAATGGAAACCTTGAAAGGGAACTACACATTAAAGGAACGGGCAAGTCAAGGCTATGGATTTTATGGCTAGAGAATAATTTCGCGCCGCGGCAAAATCTGGAGAAAACCGGGAGCGAAAAATGCCCGTCCCTTTATACCATCTGTTTCTCTCTGTAAGGCCCCGCTCTGTCTTGCATTCTCTTTCTCTCTCGCTCTCTATCTCGCGCTCTCTCCCTCTTTTTCTCCCTCACGCTCTCTCTCGCTCTCTCTATCTGTCTCTCGCTCCCTGCAGCTCTGTCTCTCTCGTCGATCCCTAGGTCTCTAGCTCTATTTTTCTGTCTATTTCATCTCGCTCCCTCTCTCTCTCTCGCTTTCTCTCACTCCCTCTCGCACCCTTTCTGTCTCTGCCTCTCGCCCGCGCTGGCTGTCACGCTCCCTTAAAAACCCGGAATCCCGCAGCTCCCATTTTCGACTCACTCTTCAACATCTGGAACCGTTTCAAAAACCCTTATCCCCTGGCGTCATCTCCACCCCCTCTTCCCTTTCCAACTCCTCATTATTTGATGGACATATAGGGGAGTGAAGAGGCGCCGAAAACGACCCAAATACTCTCTTTTTCTGTGACTTTTTAGGCAGTCTCTCTCTCGCTCTCTCTCTCTCGCTCTCTCTCTCTCTCTCTCTCGCTCTCTCTCTCACCCCATTTCGTTGACTAATCCACCCATTCCCCTCCTGGCCTTGACCAAAATCTGGCGCTAGATGCGGGGCAGCAGCCGAGAATTGACAGCCCCGAGCTAAAGGGGAAATGCCGATTTTTCAACACTAGCGAGAGATTTTGAGGACTTGGGCGTATTTAAAGGGACCTGTAAGGCAAAAATCCATAGGATCTCTTAGGATCCATAGGATCTCTTCTCCCTTTAAGCGGAAGGTGAATGCCAAAAATCGTGCCTTTTCCCGGGGCAATTATACACCTAGAAAAACGTAAATTTTGATAACCAAAGGAATTCAATATCCCTATTTTTCTCTCTACATTCGGATAAATTGTTGGTTTCCAAAATGCCAGATTCCCCTGGAAATGTCAGCCCGAAAATCGCGTTGCCCGGAAATAACGGTGACGCCCTTTTTTGCGCGGCGATTTCCAGGGGTATCCAAGGACAGGTGGGGGGGCGACCCGAAAATTATGCAAACGATCGTCGGTTTTCCTTGGTATTTTTTGGAAACGGATGTGGTGATCTGAATAGGCGCGATTTCCCGAAACGCCTGAGGAAAAAAAATGGTTGTAAAAAGTTTTGGAGCGGGCGAGAGAGAAATGCGAGAAAAAGAGTGAGAGAAAAAGAGAGTGAGAGAGATAGGAAGAGAGAGAAAGAGAGAAAGAGAAATTTTCTTGCACGAATATTTGAAAAATAATGCAAAACCCGAGTGTTTTAATAAATTTTGAAAAGCTGTGATTAGTGGGAAAACTTTATTTATACCAATTTTTTAGGTGCGAAGCTCTACTCACCAATTCCCCCGAATTCGACCGCATCAAGGCGGCCGCTTTCGAGATGAGAAACAGGGCAGAGCACTGCGAGGTGGGAAACTCTTTCTTTATTAGGAACCATCAGTACTAAACTATACAGAAATAACGCATAATTTAGCGCGGCAATCAACTTCCCGGTCTGCCCGACTTCCGCTCTACCGTCCATTCGAAGAACGGCCTGCAGGATCCATTTGAGAGGAAACCGATTCTAACACCGTCGGGGACGATTACGATTACGTAGGCTATTTTCCTTATCTCTCTCGCTCTGTCTGTCTGTCTGTCTCTCTCTCTCACTCGCTCGCTCTTACTCTCCGTCGGTCTCAACTTTAAGTTTCTAGGTTGTATTTTCATGTAATCCTATTCTCAGATTCATTTTGATGAAAATCGCGGCTTTCCAGGGTAACCCAATCCACGGCCAGCCCGCCGACGACTTCAGTAAGTACAGAGGAGGGTCATGAGGCGACTACCGTAACCTCAAAGCCCCTGAAGGTTGAGGGAAGCGCATCAACAACACCAGCTTCGACTTATAACTCGGCGAATTCGGTGAGATCAACTACGTGTTTAGCGCAATTTTTTAAGGAGGGTCTATTTTGGCGCTTCCTAGCCCCTTAAAATGGTCTGAAAAAATCCGGACGATACCTTAAATTAGAAATCTCCAGGCAAAATTTAAATTCTACAAATTTAGCAAATTTTCGACCGTCTCGACAAGCACGAGAAGCAGGTGAAGGAGCTGCTAGAGAAAGAGGGAGTCGACGGAGGAGAAGGACTGCTCACAAATCAGAAGGGGGAGGCTGTAGAGCAACCGAGGTTGACGTTCCCGCCAGGTACGGGACAGCACTCTATACACTAAGAAATTTCGGATCGTTAAAGGTACGGGCAATCAGGGCCATTTCTTTTTGCTATGGATATCCTAGGCTTTAGCCGCGTCGCGACACGCCAAGCGCGCGCTCGGTTTTCCTTGCGTAATAGATTACAGACCCTGACGTTGGCCTGGAGGTGGCGTGCTGCGTGTCGCGGTCAGCCAATTCATGGCAGAAACTTGCGTTTTTGCCACGTGACGTACGCACGTATCAATTACGCAATGTTATGGAGCGTGGGCGCGTTGCGTGTTGCGGGCGCGGTCAAATCCATAAGAAATTCGGCCCCAAAGCCCATATCAATGCCTTCCCGGCCCCTTAAAAGGGATGGTGTCACCAAGTTCGACTTCCAGATCCGGGTCGTTAGCTAGGAAAAAAATGATATTTTAGGCACGATCGGCCAGGGCGCAGCCACTGAAGTCCAGGTGCCGGCAAGTGGAAATAAGCTCGAGGAGACCGAAGCCGATTTTGGACTTTCGATCGAGAGGGAGGATCAGGTAGAAAAAAAATTGTATTTGCTGCATTTTAAAGGGACTGTGAAGGGAAAATTCAACTACAACTTTCTTTGGAAGCTTAAAAATGCAAAAAAATCTGATAAAGCACAATTTTGAGCCTTGGAAAAACAAATGTACTGCGGAGCCAAGCGTACTATCGCAAGTAGAGTGAGGGAGGCCTAGGCTAAAGCCTAGGCTTGCCTAGGCTTCCTCAGGCTTTCTAATTTGCATCGCCTAGGCTGAGCCTGCGCTATGCAAAGTACGCCTGACCTCTAATTAGTCAGGCTTTATCTGGAAATTTTATGTAAAGTC